TTTGATAGGAGTGAATGGAGACAAATGGTTTTTAATACTTGACGTGCTGTTGGAGTGTGAGCAAAGTAACATTTATGAAGGGATTCAGGGAAACCGGCAGGCCGGACTTGAGTCCTGGAGATGGAAGTACAGTGCCTGCACTCTGAAGGAGGGGTGTTAATGTTGCAGTTTAAAAACTGTAGTGTAAAGCACCCTTCTGGCAAGACAGTGATGGAGTGAATGATGGTGAAAGTTTTTCTTTTTCGGGCCACCCTGCCTTGGTGGGAATCGGCCGGTGTGATAATAAAAAAAAAAATTATGCAAACCCTCTGCTTCCCATTTCTCAACCATGCCTCTACCCAGGAAAAAATTTCTCCTATTCTGTGTGCCTTAAGTTTCCTCAGTAGCCTCTGGTGTAGAACTCTATCAAAAGCCTTACTGGAGTCCATATACACAATATCATATTCGTTACCATGATCTACCTCCTCAAACACCTTAGTGAAAAGAGTTAGTAAATTCGTAAGACAAGAACGCCCCTTTGTAAAACAGTGTTGAGATTCATTAATCAATTTATGCCTATCAACATGGCTACGAATTGCTTTGGCAAGTATCGATTCCATAAATTTTCCCACTATGGAGGTAAGGATTATTGGTTTATAGTTCGAAGCTAAGGACCTGTCACCTGCCTTGTAAATAGGTATTATATTTGCCATTTTCAACTTATCAGGCACTATGCCAGTTTGTAGTGATATGTTGAAAAGATTAGCCAAAGGTTTTACCTGGAGAGAGTTTCGGGGGTCAACGCCCCCGCGGCCCAGTCTGTGACCAGGCCTCCTGGTGGATCAGCGCCTGATCAACCAGGCTGTTGCTGCTGGCTGCACGCAAACCAACGTACGAGCCACAGCCCGGCTGATCAGGAACTGACTTTAGGTGCTTGTCCAGTGCCAGCTTGAAGACTGCCAGGGGTCTGTTGGTAATCCCCCTTATGTGTGCTGGGAGGCAGTTGAACAGTCTCGGGCCCCTGACACTTATTGTATGGTCTCTTAACGTGCTAGTGACACCCCTGCTTTTCATTGGGGGGATGGTGCATCGTCTGCCAAGTCTTTTGCTTTCGTAGTGAGTGATTTTCGTGTGCAAGTTCGGTACTAGTCCCTCTAGGATTTTCCAGGTGTATATAATCATGTATCTCTCCCTCCTGCGTTCCAGGAATACAGGTTTAGAAACCTCAAGCGCTCCCAGTAATTGAGGTGTTTTATCTCCGTTATGCACGCCGTGAAAGTTCTCTGTACATTTTCTAGGTCGGCAATTTCACCTGCCTTGAAAGGTGCTGTTAGAGTGCAGCAATATTCCAGCCTAGATACATTCCTTTAACACTCTTGCAAACAGTTCATCAGGGCCTGGGGATTTGTTACGTTTTAATTTTTCTATTTGTCTGAGGACCATGTCACTAGTTACCACATTTGTGCATAGTTTATTATTGTCCTGCTCTACATACTCTGTTATTTCAGGAATTTTGCTAGTATTTTCCTTGGTAAAAACTGAGAGGAAGTAGGTATTGAAAATTTCACACATATTCTTATCACTGTCAGTGACCTGACCTGAGTTACTCTTAAGTGGGCCTATCTTGTCCCTAATCTTACTTCTGTATATCTGAAAGAACCCTTTTGGGTTAGTCTTTGAATCTCTGGTGACCTTAACCTCATAATCCCTTTTTGCTTTTCTTATTCCTTTTTTTTATTTCTCTCATTAATTGAATATATTGATTTCTTAACTGCCCATCCCCTCTTTTGATATGCCTATATATGCCTCTCTTTTGACCAATGAGATGTTTTAATCTATTGTTCATCCATTTGGGATCATCTTTGTTAGATCTAATTTCCCTACTCAGAACAACAGTTGTCTGGGCAGCTAGAACTATGCTCTGAAAAAGTCATATTGGCAACCAAGATCACCTACCTGACCCATAGTCAGGTCATCCCAATTTAGTCCACCCAGGTAATTTTTCAGTCCCATGAAATCGGCCAAGCGAAAGTCTGGGACAGAGATTTGATTGCAGTTATCTGGGTAATTCCATGATATATTGAAACTAAGTGACTTGTGATCACTTTCCCCAAGCTCATCATTAACCTCAAGATTATTAATTAGTGATTCTTAGTTGGCAAGAACCAAGTCAAGCAGATTGTTTCCTCTAGTTGGTTCTGTTACAAACTGTTCTTAAAAGCAGTCCTGAACCGTATCAAGAAAGTCACTAGACTCAAGATTTCCTGTCACATTGTTCCAATCAATTTATCTAAAGTTAAAATCTCCCATTAACACAACATTTTCATATCTGGATGACTTATGAATTCGTCCCATAACAGCTTACTGCACTCCCTATCAAGGTTTTGGGGCCTATAAATTACACCCAAAATTAATTTGTCACAACCCTCAAGAAATTGCAGCCAAACAGATTCTGTGTTCAGTGTTTCTAATCTTATATCATGTCTAGACAACAATTTAAATCATCCCTGACATACATTGCCACTCCACCCTTCCTGTTGACCCTATCAGTGTGGAATAGTTTATAACCCTGTATGTTGCATTCAGAAGGCATTGCTCTATCTTTCAGGTTGAACCAGGTCTCTGTTATAGTAATAATATCTATATTACCTGCACTTGCAAGTAATCTTAACTCATCTGTCTTATTTCTTAGACTCCTACTATTTGTATAGTAAACCTTAAGGGAGCTAGTCACTCGTTGCCCTCTACTATCTCTCTTTATTTGTTGATCATTTGATTTGCCTTTACTAGCAACTTTATTTTGAATATTGTCTTTTAAACATATCCCTGAGGTATCCCGGTAATATCTGCTGTTTTCAACCCTAATACTGCAGCCTGATTGTTTCTCACAAACACCCATACCTCTATAATCTATCAGTTTGAAGTCCTAGACAAGTCATCAATTACCCCCTCAATCGACTTGGCTAATGCAACCACTCCAGCCCCAGAGCGATGAACCACATCCGTTTTCATACATAACACATTTGCCATAGAATTTGTCCCAGTTATCAATGAATGGGATTGCAAATTCCTTGCAGTACCCATCTAGCCAGCAATTTATACCAGTTGCCCTAGACATCCACTCATTGCCCACTCTCTTTCTAGGCAAGATGCTACATATGACTGGGATCCCTCCCTTAGACCTGACTACTTCTATGGCTGACCTGTACTTATCCAGCAGCTCCTGTCTCCTGCCCTTCCCATTGTCATTACCCCCAGCACTAAGATAATAGGCTTGCTCCCATTACCTGACATAATATTATTCAACCTGCTGACTATGTCACCAACACCAGCTCCTGGGAGGCGCACACTCTATCTGACCTTTCTATCTGTTACAAAAAGCATGGTCCATATATCTTACCTGAGAATCTCCTACAATTAGAATATTCTTACCTTGATTAGCAGGGGAATCAGTGGTATCTTCAACCTCATTAACCACTGAAATACACTTGTCCTGGAAAACAGAGAATCGGTTTCCTACCTTTATATCTTCTCTGTTAACCCTCCTTATTTTCCTTCTTCCTGAACTGTGAACCACTTGCCGCTTAAAGCAGCTGCCACTCTCACTGCTGGTGACCATTTCCTCCTTACCAGCTAAATCTATCACACACTCACTCCCAAACCCATCTAGGCAAAGCTTCAGCCTCCTATTTTCCTCCTGAAGAAGTAGAACCTTCTTCAACACCTGAACCTGAGATTAAATATGCTGCTGTGCTGTTTACACAAACCCACGCTGCCTTCCCCACCACCCACACTGCCTTCCCCACCACCCACACTGCCTTCCCCACCACCCACACTGCCTTCCCCACCACCCACACTGCCTTCCCCACCACCCACACTGCCTTCCCCACCACCCACACTGCCTTCCCCACCACCCACACTTGCCTTCCCCACCACCCACACTGCCTTCCCCACCACCCACACTGCCTTCCCCACCACCCACACTGCCTTCCCCACCACCCACACTGCCTTCCCCACCACCCACACTGCCTTCCCCACCACCCACACTGTCTTCCCCACCACCCACATGGAAATAAGTCACTTTGTCTGACTTTTTTGGGTTATCCTAGGTAATCTACACATATGCTGCTATGTATGATAATTGATGTAACTTTTTTGTGTATACCTGAATAAACTTTCTTATTCATTGAGACATGGGAAAATATGAGTTTCCTCTTTCGCTGTGGTACAAGTGAACATGAATGGAATGGCCCAGCAACAGAGGTGGGTTTTCAGCACTATTTCTGGTATCCGGAGCATTGCTTTCGGTCACAAACTCCTCAAAACCATGAGATTCATCTTCATTGACACTTTAATGTGTGTTAGAAATATCACTTGGGAAGGGAAAAGTCCCAGTTCACCAGGGAGTGAAGTAATTTTTATTGCTAGGCTTGGTGACCAAGACGTACTGAATTAGCACTCCCACAATGCACTGCGGCCTCCCGAATCTTTTTTATACTGCGTACACTGACCACACAGATCTATTCTCTCATATGTAGGTCTACCAGCTTTCTCCTGCTAAATTTGAAGCTGCTAGAATTTTGGCATAGTACTACGGCACCAACACTGGCTTGCAAGCCGTAGTTCTATGGCACCAACAGTGAAAGGGTTAAAGGACACTTATGCAACTAATCAGACATTGTATTGTGGCAGTGTTTCACCTTCCAGGAGCTTTGTCGAGACGGCTCAACAGAGTTCCTGGAGAGCAAAACGTTGCCACAGTAAAATGTCACATAAGTTGCACTCGTGTCCTTTTACCTAACATATTGTTGATAATTCTACCAACATTATTACAACTTACATTTTTGCCTCTTGTGTCATTTGCACTTGTGTCCTTTTACCTAACATTGTTGATAATTCTACCAACATTATTACAACTTACATTTTTGCCTCTTGTGTCATTTGCACTTGTGTCCTTTTACCTAACATATTGTTGATAATTCTACCAACATTATTACAACTTAGATTTTTGCCTCTCACAGAGTGAAGGCCAAGATTGCTCATCAAGGGGGTATGATTGACCTATCATGGGATGGCTTCTTGAAAACCAACCCGGTGAAGGAAGAATGGAAGAAGCGCCAGCAAGAGGAATTTGCAAAGCATTTGCAGGTTAAGGATGAATTAAAAATCACTGAGTCAGTAAAGGAAAAAGAGGAATAGAGAACCTAAACCATATAGTATGTAAAACATGGTTCAAGTTTTATTGTTTTAAGGCAAAAGATCTGAAAAAGGTGGGAGTTTTTATACAAAAAGAAAGCCAAAAAAAAAATCAAAACTTTTTTATGAATAATAAACACAATTAAGGATTTTTGAAAAAAAAAAATCACAAAATGACAGGCTTTTACTATAATTACAAACACTAGCTGGAGACACATTGTGTCCTCTTGAATACATCGCTACAAACTAGTGCCTCACAGTTGAGTATAGTGTATAGCTATTATGAGTGTGTGTGTGTGAAGCATGTGGCCAGTAGCTTATTGTGTGTATGAGGTATGTGGCCATTAGCCTGTCTTCTATTTAGTGAGTGTGAAGTACATGGCCAGTAGCCTGCCATGTGTGTTTAGTGAGAGTGATGTAGACAGTAGCCTGCCATGTGTGTGTGTAGTGTGATATGTAGCTGTATATGAAATTGCCTGTACGTAATTAAATGAGTAGAGGTATATTCATGGAGTCCAGTCTTTTATATTTAATTTCCCATCAATATTTGTTCAAACTTGCTATGGAAAATTAAATTTACCTGGATGAATCTCATTAGATACATACCAGTAAATGGTAACAAAGATAATTATTATTTATCAAAGTTACATAGACAAGTAGGAATTTTAAGACATCTAGGTCACAAAAAATGTCCCCCTTCGATACCTACTACTGTCATATCCATAAGTCACTCTTGACCTATATTAATTTCAAATGAAATATACATTACCATGAATTATGGTAAACATTAATATAAATTTGTGGACTGTATGTTAAAATTAATAAATGATTTCATATACACATTTATATAACAGAAGGAGAATTTATCTTAATACCACTCACCAATTAGTATGGAGATTCCTGTGTGTCATGTACAGAACCCCCCCCCTGTCTAAATTTATGAAGAAAATACTGGCCAGAATTCTAACATAAATATACAGACATGACTTAGCTGGGGTAATATCCTGTTTCCATATAAATACGGAGTCCTGTCCAGTCGCCTGATTTCTCACGTTATGCAGGACTGCAATTCCAACAATTTCGGCTCCTATTTGAGAGGTTTTAAGCCAAATATAACCCCTAGAGCGACGAAAATTATTCACATTACACTAACGTGCCTGTACCACATTCAAAAGCAATGGCGTTTCTCCCCCCAGTGATGCTCACCCATCGCTGGTTCATTTATTTATTTACGAATTAATTTTTATTACCTACAATATAGGTCATCAATTTACATATAAAATACACTGTATTTTTGGAAAATATACAGTATTTTCTACACTTGCCTTTGTTGTGGCTGAAAAGCAAGAGCAAGTGTGTGTGTGTGTGTATGTATGTACTTGCCTATTTCTGGTTGCAGGGGTTGTGTGTGTGTGTGTGTGTGTGTGTGTGTGTGTGTGTGTGTGTGTGTGTGTGTGTGTGTGTGTGTGTGTGTGTGTGTGTGTGGTGGGGTGTTAGTGTGTGTTAGTGTGTGTGTGTGTGTGTGTGTGTGTGTGTGTGTGTGTGTGTGTGTGTGTGTAAGTGTGTGTGTGTGTTAGTGTGTGTATGTGTTAGTGTGTGTGTAAGTGTGTTAGTGTTACCATTTTGTTCTAAGCACTTTTTGAATAGACACTAGGCCTGTGTATGTGTGTGTGTGTGTCTGTCTGTGTGAGAGAGAGGGGGGAGGCTCACAATATCATACTAGCATGATTCTAAACAGCTCACTAAACAGAGGATTTGGACTCGGTCCTAAGACATATTTGTAGTGGTACCACTGGACCCTGATCAGTACATTTGTTGTGGAAAATATTTTTAGCTGGAATGTGTACAATGTATACAAATGCATGCCTAGTTTAGCTAAATTTACACATTATAAAAGTAAGTCACTCATACAATATATTTTTCTGTATATTTACTATCCTTGGGTTACATGAGGTATTGAGAGAGTAATATTGTATATGCTAAATTGTTAATAAATACATCATGTGAGATGTGCCATTTTGATTGACAAAGGCCGTGGAGGAGCAGCTGGACTGAGGCAATTCCTGTTGTCTCAGTGCTAGGGAACCAAAGGTCATACCCAGAAGATCTCTTGACACTATGAGTTGGCCAGTGGGAGCCAAGAACTTTTTATTTTCATGAATCCATTATATTTAATTTTATTTTTAAAATTGGCCATCTCCCACCAGAGTAGGGTGATCCAAAAAATGAAACTCATTCACCATTCATTCAATACAATTTAAATGGCCCTCTGATATGCATATATATTCCTACCCCTCCTTCAGAGTGCAGGCACTGTTCTTCCCACCTCCTGGACTCCAGGCCAGCTAACCAGTGCCTGAATCCTTTCGTAAAAGTTACCTTACTCACATTCCAACAGCATATCAAGCCATGAAAACCACTTGTCTCTCTGACCATCCAGCATGCTCAAGCAAGCAAGCTGGATAGTCAAGCTCTAGCACTCTAAATCACCTGTAACTTCCCTGCCCTTTTCCCTATCTTTCATCCCTTCCTAGTATGACTCCTACCCATCCTTCCCTCCACTCCAGAATTATACACCCTATTGGTCATCCTGTACTAATCTCCCCTGAATGATGATAATATGAGAAATCATGAAAGGGCTTGGAATTTCACTATTTTTTCACAGTGCTTGTTCTGCATATTGTGATATCACCTGTTTACTGTGATCTTATTGCTTCTAGAATTCTTTGTTTTATGCTATAGTCATTCGATGAGTCCTTAAACACTTAATTACACACAATAAAATTGTCAGTGAACTTTCCAAACCATACCAATCGCATGTGGCGAATATATACCACATACTGTATATGAAATTGCTGAAATAGGATATTACATATTAGCAAATTTGCATGAAGTAAATCCCCAAAGATATTGAGGCCTGTAGTTAAAAAGAGAAGTCTTCCATATACTTATGAAACAAATTTTATATCATAAAAAAATATTACATTTAGGCCAAACTGCCCATAACAGCCTAAGTCTATGCCACATGTTTTAGCTATCATAATACAGTCTTAGCTAAATCAGCAAAAAAATTGTATACTAGGCATGGAGGGAGCAGTCAGACTAAGGGATAATACATATAATTTAAGATGCCCATAAGGCAGTTGACGACAGCATAACAGTTCATTTGCTTTTCGGCATCGTGATTTAAATATTAAACCAATAAACCTTGTTCCAAGGGCACCGGACTGACCTGTGCATCTGTTGCCTAAATAATGTGTGTGTCTGTCTAGATTAACTGTAATATATACTACAAGATAGTTAAAGCTGCTGGGGTAGTAAGCCAATAAAACTGCCATTGTTTAGATTGTTTGACACCTTTAATATAAAATAACATTCTAAGAGAAGAAATACTCAGTGTAAGCAAATTCAGAGTATACTGTGGGACAGTGAGAAGCTGTGGTAACAGCCAATAAGAATTGAGTACTTCATTATGTAACTGATGGAATGAGATGTCATTCAAGGTGAATTCAGGATAACAATTGTTCAGCATATACAGGAACAGGTAAGTATCACATAGCTGTTCAGAATAGGAAGCTCTTTATATGTAATGTTCAAGTCTGATTCCTAGATGGGTTGTTGATGTATTTTCTAAGGACTTTGTAATTTCTTGTTACTTCATGACCTCATATTTAAATTACAGAACAGTTGGGGATAAAACCTATGGCAGGCAAGTCTTAAAACTTCCAAGAGAGTGTGTTAAGCACTGGATCAGCTGCCATCTGACACTGGATTGGGAGTTTGAGGACTTGGCTGCCATGGGTTCAACCCTCACTCATTCTGTGATTTGTTTGCAGTTGTGTTATTATGATTTTGTGAGACCCCAGTAAGTAAATATACATTTCCTGTGAGATAATCATTATTACACTGCATTTCCAGTGTTGAATATACAGTTAAAATGACTCAAAGGGGAGTTTTAGAGAGGGATGTAACTCATACTGTAAATATCTCCTAGTGTGTTGTGTGACTCCATTGTGTATCTCTTCTTGTATAATGTGTGTGTGTACTATGTAACTACTTGTGAGGTGTGTGATTAGTATGTAAGTGCTTGTGTGATGTATTGTTAGTGCCTATTAGTGTATGTGATATTTATGTACAGTATGTCATTGCTTGTATGATGTGTGGTTCTTGACTCCTTGCTTTTCATTACTACATTCAGTATACTTTAAGTGCCCTACTACATGTATTACATGATTGATACCTCACATTATTATTTGGTTTGCCACAGCTTCGCAGCAGTGTTGATATATGATTAATAATGTAGCCAAATGTGGTAGTATGATCAGTATGTCTCAGTGTGTGGTATGTAGACACCATCAGTTAGCAAAGTCACATATCTTACAAGCAACATTGGAAAATGGAACCTGCACACAGTTCAGGTGCTATTGTTATAAATGTTCTACTGAGAAGTGAATATATTTTACCACAGAGCACTATTCATTTGCTTTACCAAAGGTTTCTTTTTTGTGTATGGTAATTATTTTTGTACTATGAGGTGCATGATTAGATTTTTAAGTAAATGACTAAGTTCTTGCCAAAGATGGCATATGGCTAATGTTTTACTATACGAGGTATTTAACCATTGTGCAAGTGTTAGTGATGAAAGCTTTACTTTGCATCAGATGTGTGATTAGTACCTCGCCAAGTGTGTTATGCTTGTACACTTTTAAGGTAGCTTTTAAGAAATGTGATTAGTTTTTGGGGAAATTCTTGTTTTTTATTAAAAATACACTTAAAGGCAGTTTTCTCATGTTTTTAATTTCTCTTCTAACCTGTAAGTTGATAAAAATGAGAATTTTACCATATGGATTTTTTTTTTTTTTTTTTTTTTTTACACGATGGCCATCTCCCACCAAGGCAGGTGACTCAGAAACAGAAAGAAACACTCACCATCACTCAAACATGAAAATAAATGGTATAAAATACCGACACTATGGAAACATAAACACATATGCAGTTTAATGTGATCCTTTATTGACAACGTTTCGCCCACACAGTGGGCTTTTTCAAGTCAACGCTGTATAGTCCTTGTGGCTTAGCGCTTCTTTTTGATTATAATAATAATAATTTTTCAAGTCAAACAGATCTACCTGGGGTGGAAGGTACGGGAGTATTTATAGTCAGGTTCAGAATGATGAGGTCAGGTGGAGAATGCTGCATCTGATGATCCACCGGGTGGGGTTATAGAGTCTTGGGTAGCTTGGCAGGGGTATTGGACAAGTTGTGAGTAGACCTTCTGCAGTGTTCTAAGTTCTTATGTGGGATAGCGATGAAGAAGTTTCTTGGCAAGTGGTTCAGCTATGTTATAGAAGCCATTGTTCTGGTTGAAATTGTTGGTTATAGAGATAAGCGATGATGCCAGGATTCTTCGGCATCACTCACACATAATCGCTGTCTTTTTTTTTTCCACAAATGGGCCACATCCCACCGAGGCAGGGTGACCCAAAAAGAAAAACGAAAGTTTCTTTTTTTAAATTTAGTAATGTATACAGGAGAAGAGGTTACTAACCCCTTGCTCCCGGCATTTTAGCCGCCTCTTAACAAATTGTGTAAGGCGTAATGGGGGCTGAGTGAGCATCCTTGCAATTGCAGGTTCATAACTATACCAGTTTGGCCAAAGTGTACATAAGAATTGTGTGCAGCCCCAACTGTTGCTCAACCCACTTTCATATTGAATTCCTGACACTATAATGTAGGATTTCATGGAAACATTATCAGGTCAGTTGTCCATCACTCCTCAGTCATGCTCACCATATTGTGAAAGTAACAAATTGTGTAAGATATACCTAATATTTTCCAGGCACTGTATGACCCTATGGGTTTAGCACTTCCCATGAAAACATGAAAATAATTCAAGCATGCAAAAGCAAAGAGTACTAATTAATAGTTTTTTAAGCTATGCTGAATGAAGTAGTACTGATTAAACCTTCATTCTGTGAATGCTTTCTCATTCTTTCCTTCACTCAGTAAGGTGTACACTATTTCGTGTTGGTGCTCCTCTGACACCTTTCTCATTCTTTCCTTCACTCAGTAAGGTGTACACTATTTCGTGTTGGTGCTCCTCTGACACCTTTCTCATTCTTTCCTTCACTCAGTAAGGTGTACACTATTTCGTGTTTTGGGGCTCCTCTGACAAACCCTTTTTCATTCTTTCCTTCACTCAGTAAGGTGTAAAACTATTTCGTGTTGGTGCTCCTCTGAACCTTTCTCATTCTTTCCTTCACTCAGTAAGGTTTTACACTATTTCGTGTTGGTGCTCCTCTGACACCTTTCTCATTCTTTCCTTCACTCAGTAAGGTGTACACTATTTCGTGTTGGTGCTCCTCTGACACCTTTCTCATTCTTTCCTTCACTTTAGTAAGGTGTACCCCTATTTCGTGTTGGTGCTCCTCTGACACCTTTCTCATTCTTTCCTTCCCCCAGTAAGGTGTACACTATTTCGTGTTGGTGCTCCTCTGACACCTTTCTCATTCTTTCCTTCACTCAGTAAGGTGTACACTATTTCGTGTTGGTGCTCCTCTGACACCTTTCTCATTCTTTCCTTCACTCAGTAAGGTGTACACTATTTCGTGTTGGTGCTCCTCTGACACCTTTCCATTCTTTCCTTCACTCAGTAAGGTGTACACTATTCGTGTTGGTGCTCCTCTGACACCTTTCCATTCTTTCCTTCACTCAGTAAAGGGGTACACTATTTTGTGTTGGTGCTCCTCTGACACCTTTCTCATTCTTTCCTTCACTCAGTAAGGTGTACACTATTTCGTGTTGGTGCTCCTCTGACACCTTTCTCATTCTTTCCTTCACTCAGTAAGGTGTACACTATTTCGTGTTGGTGCTCCTCTGAACCTTCTCATTCTTTCCTTCACTCATAAGGTGTACACTATTTCGTGTTGGTGCTCCTCGACACCTTTCTCATTCTTTCCTTCACTCAGTAAGGTGTACACTATTTCGTGTTGGTGCTCCTCTGACACCTTTCTCATTCTTTCCTTCACTCAGTAAGGTGTACACTATTTCGTGTTGGTGCTCCTCTGACACCTTTCTCATTCTTTCCTTCACTCAGTAAGGTGTACACTATTTCGTGTTGGTGCTCCTCTGACACCTTTCTCATTCTTTCCTTCACTCAGTAAGGTGTACACTATTTCATGTTGGTGTTCCCCTGACACCTTTTAAACTTAAATAATACAAATTATTGCCCCGAGTGTGTGTGCATGCATGAGGGAGGGAGAGGGAGAGACAGAGAAAACACCATCCATTTGTTTCCCTTTGTTTCTTCCTTTTGTAGTGTAACAGTCAACACATTTGACTGACAGCTGATAGATACTAATTTTGACTACTGGGGTGTGGGAAGATGTATAGGCAAGTCACATTATGTCCACCACCATTCACATCATAGTAAATAGGTACCAGGGTGTTAGTAGACTGGGGGAGGGGGTCACATGCTGGGGTATGATCAAATGCTTGGCTAGGTCATCCTTGATAAGTCTAGGTAGTCTTGTAAAAGACTGATAAGCCTTATTTCTTCCCTATTATAATGGCAAGCTTCAACTGTGCTCTATGACCCCTGCAAATTGATGTTTTCCCATGAATATGATAATGAAAATATGGAAAATCTTACTAGACTTGCATAATCTAAGACTTATTCTTGTCAGTGTTCCCAATTCTTAAGTGTGCAATAGCATCAGGCCTAAAAAAGATACAAAAGAAAAATAGTAAATTGTTTTGAAAGCTGCCAATAAAATCTTAAGAGCAAGGCAATTGCCGATAATATGCAGTGGACCCTCGGGTAATGATTTTAATCCGTTCCAGAGAGCTTGTCCTTAACCAATTTTATCGTTAGCCGATTTAATTTTCCCCATAAAAAATAATGGAAATCCAATTAATTCGTTCCAAACACCCAAAAGTATTAAAAAAAAAAATTTCACATGAAATGTACAATTTCCTACACAGAAAACAGTGATATATGAAGAATAAATACTACATGCAGAATAAATACTACATGCAGAATAAATACTACATGCAGAATAAATACTACATGCAGAATAAATACTACATGCAGAATAAATACTACATGCAGAATAAATACTACATGCAGAATAAATACTACATGCAGAATAAATACTACATGAAGAATAAATACGTACTACATGAAGAATAAATACTACATGAAGAATAAATACTACATGCAGAATAAATACTACATGAAGAATAAATACTACATGCAGAATAAATACTACATGCAGAATAAATGACACTTACCTTTATTGAAGATTTATTGATGAGTGATGAGATGGGAGGAAGGGAGATGATGGAAGTGTATTATTGTTTAGAGGGGGAATCCCCTTCCATAAGGACTTTAGGTAGCAAGTCCTTTTCCAGGGTTATTCCCCCTTCTTTTTTTAAGCCACGGGGAACAACTTGCAGTCAGGGGCCCTGTCCCCCCAAAAAATCTGTCCAAGAGCTCTGTACCCGGTTTCCCTTTTAAAATTTTTTTCCAAAAAAGGGCCACAACTTTGGTCATTGAAAAATCACCGCCGGTTTGCAATTTAGCGTGTCGGGGTGATGTTCTTCCATAAAGTTGCCCCTTGTCCACTTTGTACAGATGCCCTTTAAATTTGATGAAGAAGAAACTTCTCCTCTCTCTTCCCCCCTCTAAGAAATTTTCTCATTGGGGTCTTTTGCTGTTGTAGATGCTTTTGCATCTCATCAGTGTTTAGTTCTTCATCATCGTCCTCCACCAACTCTTCCACATCCTCGCCACTAACCTCCAACCCCATGGACTCCCCCAATGACACAATAGATTCCACAACTGGTATAGGCTCCTCAGGGTTAGCCCCAAAACCTTCAAAATCCCTCTCTTGTATACATTGTGGCCACAATCTCCTCCAAACAGAGTTCAAAGTCCTGCAAGTCACTCCCTCCCAACCCTTACCTACAAGGTTTATGCAAGTGAGGATACTAAAGTGATCTTTCCAAAACTTTCTTAGGGTCAATTCAGTGTCTGAGGTCACTTCAAAGCACTTTTGAAACACTGCTTTGGTGTACAGTTTTCTGAAATTTGAAATGACCTGCTGGTCCATGGGCTGGAGGAGAGGAGTGGTATTAGGAGGCAAAAACTTCACTCTGATGAAGCTCAACTCCCCCGCATTTCGCTCTGGCAAGTCTGGAAGATGAGCAGGAGCAGTGTCTAATATCAAAAAGCACTTGAGGTCCAATTTATTTTCCAGGAGGTAATTTTTCACAGTGGGGCCGAACACATGATAGAACCAATCATGGAAAATGTTCCTAGTGACCCATGCCTTGCTGTTTGCACTCTACATCACACACAAATTAGCCTTGACGACACCATTTTTCTTGAACACGGAGTTCCATGAGTCTCGGCCTGGGCCAGAGCGCATGGGCATGTCATTTATCTCCTTTTCGAAGTCATTTGGCATCAGGATAATATCAGATAGGTGTGTGTTTACCAAATTCTGTCTCTCTCATAAAAAATTCATTTAGGTCTTCGACTCTCAGCCTGGTTAGTGGCTCACTAAAAACCAAGTCATATTGGGACTTGAGTAGCTCACTCATTTCCTTGCTGTCATCTGCGTAGGCCCCGTCCCGTTTAAGTAGGAGCCCAATATTGGATGTTGTTGTAGACTTTGATTTGGCATGAGAAAAGAAATACTTTGGGTTCCTTTCAATTTCATTTATGGCTTTTAGTTCTGGCATTTCTTGACTCCTGTAAGATTCCTTTAGCTTTAGTTCAA